GCTACATAGGGAGTTGACTCACATTGATTTCCTGTGCATGTGTGTTACCTTCTAGGTTAATTGTTTTTGATCTAACCTTTTCTTTAGTTCCTGTTCCCCTTTTCCTATTGGCCTCAGTTGCTTTAAGGTATCTGCTTTAGTTTCTCTGCGTTAAGGGCAACAAATGCTAGCTAATTTTTTAAGTGTCTTACCTATCCTCACCCTTCCCTTGTGTGCTCTCGCTTTTATCATGTGCTCAAAGTCCAATCCCCTTGTTGTCTTTGCCCTTGATCTTTAAGAATTTTCCAGGGCTGGGATGAGGATTAAATGGTACAGCACTTGTCTAGTACAGGCAAAGCCTGGGTTCAATCCCAAGCACAACAAAACAAACAAATAAAACAATAACAATATAAAAGCAAAACATTAACTACCTCTATTTTGTATTATCATTTGTAAATAAATGAGTTTAAGAAAATAACTTCCTATGTTATCTTTTAATACAGTTTAACACCTTGTATATATCACTTAAGGCAACAGTATTACCCAGCTATTGTGGGACATCCCAAAAAATGTAAAATGTGATTTCTGCTTTTAGTGGATCTTCTTTTTCTTTTTTGGATAATAGGAAGAACAAATGGCAAAACATAAATAATAGGGCTAGCCAAACATTGTGCATATGAAATTTTTACTGCAATGCCACACAAACGGAAAGACACAGTTCAAAAAAGACAAAGGTTAGAGTAATTTAGGGTACATGCAAAAAATTTTATTCAATGTTTGTTTAGTTATGTCATGCAGACTGCAATAATAAATCTATCCTAAAAATTCAGTCACTTAAGAAACAATGTGTTTGTTCATCTCCAATATAGCTCACAAGGGTGGGTTTGGGGAAAATTGAGTAACTTTCTTCCAAGATCAGAAAAACACTCAGACTGGTACTTGCTCTGCCTCTTTCAAAGTATCCCTAAGACATTGATGCAAGTCAGCTGAAAGGAAAGAGTACAGAGGAGCACTTGTATGTGGGTCCATTCCTGGGATCATATATGCCCCTTCCCCTCACACCCCATCAACTGCAGCTCAGCAACAAGGCTACACCTCACTTACTATGTGAGAGGCAGGGCATGCAATCTATTTGGCCAGCCACATGCCCGACCTTTCCATTGCAATAGGAGAAGAACATATTTTGGGAGTCAGCTAGAGTCTATCACTAATACAAAGCATTAATGATTTGGAGAAATAAAGAAGAGAAAGAATGATTTTATCCAGGCAAAAGAACAATAACAATAACCAGGCTGTTAATCCTTTCCAATCTTCCATTTCTTTGCGTGATAAACAAAACTTGTTCCAAGTGATTTTAATTGTTTTTCTAGCTTTTAAGTCTCTCTGGTTCTTGGGGCTAGTATTCAATGGGTATTGTGTTCAACTGGAAAAAGGTGTTCATGTTGAAAAGATACAAGACAGCTCCCATGTTGTGTGGATAGAGTGGATCTGGAACAATCACTGTATTGCAGTTAATATTGAAAAAAAATTGAGCAACAGATACTGCTCATGTACCTTATTGTGATGATTAATTTTATCTGTCAACTTGACTATAGCACTCTCTGATAGCTGGTAAATTTTTTGGTGTATTTGTGAGACTGTTTCAGGAAGAGATTAGTGTTGGAATCAGTAGACTACAGATCTACTCTCACCAATACAGAGTGACTATTATCTAATCTGGCTAGAATACAAAAGTAGAGGAAAGGCAAATGCACTCTAACATTCTCTTTTTGAGCTGGGATATTCATCTTCTGCCCTTGGACTTTGGAGCTCCTAGTTCTTACGCCTTTGGAGCTCCTAGTTCTTACGCCTTTGGCCTTGAACTGAATTATACCACCTGCTCTTCTGGTTCTCCAACTTGCAGGTGGCATATCAAGGGACTTCTTGGCTTCCATAATTGCGTGAGGCAATTCCCATAATAAATCTCATGTATTTTTATGTATCCTATTAGTTTTGTCTTTCTGGAGAATTTTGAATTCTACACTTTTATAAATCAGACAGTTTGCCAGGTGCTGTGGAGGACACAAAGAAGTTAACTCATTCTTTTAGAGAATAAATTTTTACTATTTATGGAGGAGCTGAGTTGAATTAAGAACAGGAAAGATTAAAATGAAGCAGAATGGAGTATGTTTTTAGAGTTCTACATAGAGTAGGAGATTGAGAAACGATCCTTGAATATCTCCTACAACCATTTTCTGAAGAAAAGAATCTCTAATAGTATCTTTTGTTCCTGTGATTTGTCTCTTACAATTGATCATATTAAAATTCCAGTCATTAAAAGTTTGGCTAATTAACTTTGGGTTAACTACAGTTTTACTACAAGTAAAAATGCAGAGGCTGGGCAATTAATTTGATATTCTTTATGAGATAAAATCAGACCTTCAGGCTGTCCATGTAGTCTACACAATTTACCAATATCTGGGAAAATACATCCTCAAGTGCTAAAACCATTTGAAAACTGCCAAATGTATGTAGTATTCTACTATTATTAATTCTTAGCCAGACATATCTCTAATGTCTTCCAGGACTCTAATCTTTGGATATAATGGCTCCATTTTGACTTTATTTTTCAATATTTGTAATTAAAAATGCTGTTTTCATAGGGAAATTATAGTCCTAAGGATATAGGGGGAATATTTCAAGTCATTTTCATGTTTAGTTTTGGTTTCTAAATCATGTTTTGTTCTAAATTCACTGTGAATATTTTCATTGTCTTGAATACCTTCTTCAATTTGCCTTTCTTAAGTAATACAAGACCTGGGAGTAGGAGTCAGGAGAAATGCATTTCAGCTAGGTTTGTCATTTCCTAGTGAGTACATCCTTCACCCTTCTGGAGGCCAGGGTATGCCTGTCTGTTAAATGAGGGAGTTGAAATGAGAGTGCGAGGTGTACTCTGAAATACTACTCTTCTTTGTATTAATATTGGCTAATCACTTTTCTATATTTAGTTATTAACCTGCCTATTAGTTTAATTTTAAATTTCAACAAGTTCTGTTTCCTAATTTTTGAGCAATTTGTGATTGCATGCACAATTAGCTTACATGAATGTCCTTTTCTTCAACTTCAGTACTAAAAGACAAAATGGCCTTATAGAACTGAATACATTTTCATGTTTAAATGGGGTATGATTTATATTGTGCCAAGTATCATCAGTGACAATTATGTAGGCTTTGAAATGAAATTATGACTTAGAAATATGTGTGGCATATGTTCTACTCCAATTTTAAAATATGCCTGTGGGAAACTAAAAAAACTCACAAACCCTGCTAAATTCTAAGAACTATATAAATTGATTTGTGGTTTTTACTTTGCATAGAAACAATGCTTATATCTCTCAACTTTTGAACATCACATAGTTTTAAATCTCATTTCATATTGCGATAATATCAATCATAATAGCAAGTCACATTTCTAGCATTCCTACAAGACGTCAGGCCATAGATTACATGCTGTATGTGAATTATCTTTTACTCTACTTTATAATCTCCATAGTGAAGTTGTACTACTTAATATGAACATAAGAAAAACATTAATTTTTAATTGACATTACTTATTTACAAACACACACACACACACACACACACACACACACACACACACTAAATCTTTATGAGGAAACAGAACACAAGGACTAAAATCTTTAAAAAATAACCACTGTGAAGTCATGTGACAGATCTACAAATTCTTTTTATTTACATAGAAATGTGTACACATACGTTCTCTGTACACTGAAATTCTAGGTATATATACATATGTGGTTCCCACATATTTTACAATAAGTAGTACTTTACTCTTGTTTCTAGATGAACATAAAAAGATGTCTGAAAATATTACTCACCAACCACAAAATTACTAAATCACCTGATGAATTTCAAGCCTGTACTATGACACACTAAGCCTAGCACAATTTTTACAAAAGACAAAATCGAACACTGTGCAGGTATCACCAGTTAAAGGAAAGGAATGGAGATGTGAGATAAAGACAGAGCTGCTGGCTTTCTGAACAGTGTGGTAAGAGTGTTTTTGTAGGCTAGGACTTACCTCCCTTTAGTCTTCAATTGAAGGTTTTGTTTTAACTGATATATTACAGATAAGGAGGGGAAAGAAGTTAACAGCTATTGTAAAAAAAAGTAATGATTCTCAAGTCTTGAGTTCTAGAAGTCTTTTCCTTGGCCAGCCAGACCCTCTTTCTGTGCTAATCCAGTGAACAGCCAGTTGTACCTTACAGGCAATCCTGGGCACTCATACCTCACTGAAGATGAGAATGTCTCCAATAGTGACATTAATTTGAAAGTAATATCAAAAGCCTAGTAAGCCAGATATCTTAGTTACCAGCATTAATACCTAGATATACTTAAATATAACTCATTATTTCCATGTAGAGTTTGATTCCTCATTGTAATCACTAACTAAATACAAGAAGAACTTACTCTGGGAGGCTAGAAATGGTGGTTCATAACCCTGGAATTTTCAACCTCTCCTTCCATTTTTTTTTATACGTTAGCCTTGAAAAAAATCATTTTCTTTCAATTTCAGAGTTTCTCTCTCTCTCTCTCTCTCTCTCTCTCTCTCTCTCTCTCACATGAATGGAATGAGGTCCTAAGCTCTGTAGTGAATACAAATTTCATGTCATTTCTGATAATCTCAAAGCATTGATTTTGGTAAAAGTGACTAAAAATATCATAATTTTCATTATTGTTGAACTGACTTATACCCAGATTTGCTTCATCAATATACCAGTATTACTGCTTAGAATGAGAATCATGAGGGTGGTGACCGACACAGGGCTAAGGGTTTAACTCACATTCCACTTCACTGTAGCGCAGATGATAATGCATTTGGTTCCACTGTGGCACTGTAACTTCACACAGGAGTTCTGAAACAAATTTTATCCTTTCATCTCTCATATCAATACTGGCACAGATGAGAAGAAAGACATAGCAATAAAAAAGGATTCAATGTCAGAAACACAATCCATCTATCAAATACAATCTTTCCAGTTACTTTACTGAATTTGCTATTTTTAAAGGTAAACTTCCAAAACATATTTCAAAGGCAGGCTCATTTCAATTCGGGAGCAATGCTTATCACATGCATAATTTAGTTCCTTCTTATCACACATGGCTATCACTGATGCTTCTTTTAGAGAAACAACAATATTTCTAGAACTTATCCATCTTTATATGAAAGTGATGGTTTCATAAACAGTTTGACTTTTTAGATAAAGGTACTTATGTTTGAAACGAACACATTTCACATTAGAATATGTTCCTTTTTCTTTTAACTTGAAAACCAGATACAGAACTATGATTCACTGCCAGAAACAAAAGGGATCCTTTACCATGGAGAGCTGAGCTTATTTCTTGGTCATTCTAATTAAATCTACACGTGTCCCTCATTTCAATCACTGGAAAGATTCATCCAGAAGATAAGTATGGGGTCTCACTATGGTAATTGTAGTCAGGACAGACCTTTTGTACAAGTTTATAATCAACACTGTAAAAGGCAATGTAAATGCAAATGACCTTGAAGGGCTTGGAGCATAACCAAGACACATGGCTCTGAGTCTGCTCCTGGTAGCAGATCTTAGATGGGTCAAAGTTGCACAGGGCGGTTTTCTTCGCCCGATCTGTTTTTTCATACTCAATGCGACAATTGAAGGATTTGGATTCCTTGGTCTCCAAGGTAGACTGGGGGGAAACTTCAAATTCCACCACTTTAGAGGGAGGTACCAAGCTCACGGAAACATTGCCCAGGCCTGTTGAATTATGTCGGAAATAAACACTGAAGGTTCCATTTCCATGGTCGACAATTTTCCCCGTGATAAGGAGGTTGAGTTTGACAGTTTTAATGTTGGAATGAAAGTCACCCCATCCAAACATTTTCTTAAATTTTCCTGTTTTCACTATTGGCCGCCGTTTAGTTCTTGTTAGTGGCTCCTGAACCTCGGTGATGTTAGCCAGCCAATCCCAAAAGTTCTCTATGCTGTCTGCATACGCCATAGGGCCAGGCTTGGGTACTGGAGACTGTTTAACAAACAGGCGCAGAGGACTGAAGATCCTAGAGTGCACCGCGTTTCCAACCAACGTCCCTGGAGCATCTTTGTCTTCCCAATCCAGACCCTCTGTGGTGTGCACCACCTCTCTACTGTCACAGAACAGCTGTGGGAAAAGAAGAACGAGAAATAAATTTTAGAATAGGCTTTGCGCATGCACACAGACTGAAGGGAAAGGAGAAGGGAAACTCAGTATTATTTAAGTTCTTGCTAAATATAATTTCAAACACAAACCTGGGCTCTGTGCAGTGTAACACGAGGAGCATTCAACTCAAGCAATGTAAAACTGTGAGTACAAAAATTTAAATGATCAGACTAAGAAGAAGCCATTTCATTTTAATAGGTTGGTTTGTTTTCACTATTTCCTAAACTTTACCATTTTCTTTATCAGAATTGGCAAAGTAGTATATTTTTGCCACTCATGTGATAAAATTATTAAATTTGGGAAGTCTTGTTTTTAGGAGAAGAAAACTCTAGGCTCTAAAGTTTCTACCAACAATCTACAAACCATCTGAAACTATAATTGCACAAAAAAGTATAAACTAATTAATAGACTATATATTATTTAATGTATTTTATTGCAACAAAATTATACCCAAAATTTAGAATTAGTAAGAGTTATGTGCATGTGTTTTACAAGTTCACAATATTTTTTTCTGAATCATAGCCACTGAAATATAGCATTTTATTTGCATTTAATTTTCCTTCTTATTCTTTTTTGTGGTATGAGTATTCATGATTTCCAAAAATCATTTAGTTAAGTCAATGTAGATTTTGAGGGACAGAATCATTATATATGAAACTGTTGCCTAGAGTGAATATTTATGGATGAGTTATAAAGTCTAGAAAACAGAGCTTTCTAGTGGAAACACAGATAGTCTCTTATCTCTAATGGCACAAACTACTCTTGTAATGGCTCTACAGAAAACTGTCAGCATGATGAAAAGGATGAGCAAAGAAGGGAAGCTGTGTTTATGTACTGTTTCTCCAGCCTTTTCAAACTTGCCAAAGCACTTGGCAAAACTGGTCTCAGATTATCCCAGAAATTATTGCTTTCAATCCAATTTGAAAAAACACTGACATAGCTTGGATTGTAAATATTGTACTTGACTATATGGTATAGCTTGATAATGTGAGGATCTCTTTTGTATGTTCATATAAGTTTATAAGTTTAAGCTGAGCATGGTGGCATACACTTGTATGCCTCCCATACCTAATAGGGAGGTAGAGATAGGAGGATCTTTGTTTAAAGCCATCCTAGACAAAAATTAACAAGACCGTGTCTCAAAAACAAGCCAGGTGTGGTGACAGATGCCAGTAATTCCAGAAGAGATAGGAGGATCACAGTCCAAGGTTGCCTGGGCAAAAGTGTGAGGACCCATCTGAAAACACAAACGGACTAGGACCATGGCTCAAGTGGTAGAGTACTTGTAGCAAGTGGGAAGTATTGAGTTCAAACCCTATACTGCAAAAATAGTTTATAAGTTTAAGTTCTAAGAGAATCTTATGAAAGATATTCACCTAAATCCAGTTGGAACCCAAGGATGGAATATGCAGATGAGGGTTTAAAAAAATTATTTTCTCATCACTAAAATCACTGAAGTTGGAAGAGGGCATATTGATACATTCTACTTTTTGATATCAAATCCATATATCCTCTTTTTAGGAGTTTATACATCCTGAATTAATACCTCCTTCTTTCTCCTGTTTTAAGGATGGCATACGCACCAGAGAAAAAGGGATTATTGCTCAAAATCTGAGGCTCAAAATATGCTAATATTGTAACTATAGCTTTCTGGTTTTGAACACTCTTAATTATGATGTGCAGAAATCAATACCCATTGGAGTTCAGCAGTCTGGATCCAGTTCTAACTTGAGATTCCTGAGAACTGATGCAGGCTGATCCAAGTTGACACGTTCTGGTCTATCACCAAGGAGAGGGCCGAGGTCCAGTTTCTCTTCTTTGTGAACATGCAAAGAGATCTTGTTGCCTACATTCTATTCCTATTTTTCACCTATTTCCTGAGATTTGCGTACTCGGGAAATGGTGACAGACACACCTACCATTTGCTGAGCAAAGCTCTGGTGTTCAAGAATTGCTACAGTGCTTCCTGATCTCTACTCTTCCATTTGGTACAGCTGCCAAACGTCTTCCCTATTCCTATTTTCTTCCTCTCTTTCATAGGGTACGTCCTTCTGACATTTTCCTTTTTTTAACCTGCTTTAAAAAAACTTCATTTGTATCTTTATATATAATCCTACCAATTAACACTTTATTAGCAGAACTAAGATACATTTTTCCATTCAAAAATGTTTTCAATCACAAGTAGGAAAACATTCTTTGCTACCAGCAACAGTGTGCTTTCTCTTTTTCCCCTTTAAGTGTTTGTTGAATGTTATTTATTTCCCTGAAATTTTTCTGCCTGCATCAGTTCTCCTGATTCAGTGCTTTGCACAATTTTCTCTTTACTTTTTTGTTATTGAAAACTTATAAATGCCAAGTTCATCATTTAATGACAGGTAAGTTTTGTAATTAGACTGAGTCTTAACTTAGCCAATTTGGATATATTTTAGATCATAGACACCAACAGAGTCTTTCCTTTATGTGTAGGACTTCTGTTGTGATGGTTCTGAGATGTCAAAAATAGTAATAAGTGACCATTTACTGAAACTTTAAAAAAATGATACAAAAGTTTTCCTGGGATTAATTTATGTTGTAAAGAATTTCATCCAAACATGTGCCAATTACCTAGGAAATATGAGTGTGAAAAAACCAAAATACCATCTATAAACAAACAGATAAATTAGATGTGATTTTTGTTTTTAGGAATGCTCTTTAAGTCTTTAGAAAAGATTCTCCATATGAGAAGTTAAAATGGAATTTGATTTTGAAGAAAGTCATTCTAACACCCTAGTCTTTAGGTTCTAACCTTGAGCCCTTGATTTTAAGGTTGATTTATGTAAAAATGTTCAGGTAATAGCACAGATTTATAGTGTTTCTCTCTTCTAGGGAAAAAACTCTCTGGCAGTTCCATAGATTAAAAAGTATTTATTATATATATACATATATATACACTATATATGTATGTTTTGAAAGTTTATATGTATAAAAGTATAAATATATGTGTGCACATATATTTAATGTTTTTGTTTTCCCTAGACCATCAAATTTCTAACTTGCTTTGACAACAGCATTAACCAAATTAGAAAAGCTGTGTACAGCTTCATCTGGTTATTTCTTTAAAATACATGGAGAGTTCTCACAAGTGCTGATTTCCAATCTCAGTCCAAATCTCAAAAGGCCACCTGATAATAACATACTGGTAAAAGAGTAAAATTATAAGGGTGAATGTATTTCTCTGTGTCTTTGAAAAGCTGACAATTGCATCCCTCTCCCAACTTCCTCCCCTTTTGGTGTAACTTGTCCAGTCTTCATTTTGTTATAAATTATCACTTTATAGCATCACAGCTGAGAAGGCACACTCTCCTATCCCAGGTCTACATAGATGGTTGCATGATTCAAACCCATGACCCAAATCCTCTAGGACTCATGCTTAACCTGAGGAGACCTTATCAAGAGAGACTGAGGCAGCTAACTCACAACCCTGTCCCCTTTATCCATATAATTCCCACTAGGAAGCAGCATGGAATGGTGGGAAAAGTACACTATTTGATGCCTGATGACATCATCACCCATGCTTAACTACTGACTCAAACCCCAGTTTTCTCACTTATGTCTTCTTTCTGGTCAGTTGTAAGGACTAATTAAAAGAACAGTTGGAGCTTAATCTTTGGCAAAAGGCATTCCATGACTGATGGATCTTCCATGGTCCAATGGGTAGTCTCATGCTTCCTACTCAAGAAGAGTCTCCAAAGGGTTATATGAATTTTCAAAGCTCCAGCAAATGATTAATGGTTAATTGAGCAACTTGTTCCATGCCATGTGATGAATTAACAACCAAGTAGAAATCAACCATCTCAACCCCAAAGCATCAATCATTTCCTCATGTTTCCTGTCTCACTGGCATGTGAGTCACATTCAGATCCCAGGTCTGAGATAGCTCTCTTATGCCAAGAAAATGTGTTTATGGACCTTTGCTTCCAACCTACCAAATGAGTCAGCAAAGGGACCTGGAAGTACAAACTGTCTCGCAGGTGCCCTCATTCCCCAACAAATAGTTTCTGTGACACATCTTGCTGGAGAGAAGACCATAAGTGGTTCTGAATCTGTTGGCAAACCTCTCTGTCCAAGGCAAGACTTAGATGTTATCTACAAACACATGTCTGTATCCCCCAATTACTTTTGTACTTACTGGGCTCTTCATACTAATTTCAGTATCACTGCTGTCTTTTTGTCCCATCATATTACAATAGTAATGAAAAACATTTAACCTCAAGCACAAAATGGAGTTTTAAAAGGGGAAGAAAGAGAAATTGCTGTGCTTTATCTGTTTGAACATTCCCTGATTTCAACACATTTATCAAAGCTTAAGTAATTTACGTCTTGGCAGGGTGTATCAATTTCACAAAGCACACACATTAGCTAGATACAATGATATCATATTAGCTTTTTCTGTATCTTACAGAAGAGCTCAAAAAGATTAATAAAAGCTCAAACTTTCATCAATTAAAGGAAGCAGGTAGAAGGAAGGGGGTAGAGGAATAAGACTATTTTGTTTCAGTTCTTTTGTTTTTAGGGCGGGGAAGCTGACAGGTTCAAATCATTCATCATAACAAGCTGAAGTTGAATTTCACTGATAATTAAATGCATTTTTCCCAAGAGGCAGTGAAGCTGCAATGAATTTTATAGTAGCAGATGTGAGAACTGCCACAAATTATGGAAATAATTTATAAACTAAAAGGCATCTTCCTCTGCAAACATTTTATCAGAAGAGACTTTTTTTCCAACTCTATTTGTTGTGTACTTTTTTAATTAGTATTTTGTTTTGGAGTAACTTTAGTTTATAGAAGAGTTAAACAGTAGAAAGAGCTCCCATACACCTTGCTCTGCTTCCTCCATCGTTAACATCTAGCATTACAATGTTCTTGTCACAACTAATGAACCAATACTGATGTATTATTTTCTAATCGTCAAACTTTACTTGGTTGTCCTTAGTTTTTCCTTAATGTCCTTTGTCTGCTCCAGGATCTCACATTATATTTAGTCATTGTGAATCTTTGAGCTTGTTTCTCAGACTTTCCCTATTTTAGATGACCTTGAATGTTTTGAGGAATACTGGTCATATATTTTGTAAAATGTCCCTTAACTTGGGTTTATCTGCTGTT